GTAAAACTCTACTCTGGCCTCTGAAAGTGCATAGACCTTTTTCACAACAGCCAGAAGTGCCCCGCTGTAGGTTTGCAGGACTTCCAGTTAATGGTTTTCTATGGTGAAATATCTGTAGAAATGTCTTGCGTATTTTCCACCAGCTTCATAAATCTGCCTACCCCATCACCAAATCTTCATCCAACAAGGTCGACAAAGAACATATTCTGTCCATGAAGAATTTATCCACAACTATCGAGGTAAGAAGCACAAAAATGTAAAGGCTAACAACGACTAGCATTAGTGAACTACTCCTCAGCAAAACTAGTGTTATGGCCATCAATAAAACATAAGTAATAAGTAATTTGTTAATAAGTAACTTGTTAAATCAGACTGATTCTAGAATTAAAAAAATAATAATAATTTCATGATGTAGCTATTAGCACAGATAGATAGATTTGTGCAGTTCGGATGCAATAGATGTTCACAGATTTGCATTTAAACTGCACAAACCTCTCTGTCTATGCTAATATCTACAACATGAAATACATTTTTAGTCAATTTGAAGTAAAAAAATCAATAATCAGTCTGAGTTAACAAGTTATTTATGTTTTATTCATGACCATAGCATTAGTTTTGTTAAGGAGTAGTTCACTAATGCTAGTCGTTGTTAGCCTTTACATTTTTGTCCTTCTTACCTTGATAGTTGTAAGACATTTCTACAGATATTTTGCCAGAGAAAAGCATTAACCAGAAGTGGCGTTTATCATACATCGTGACTTGTTGTGAAAAAGATCTATTGTGGTGAATAATTAAGATGCACAGAAAGTACAGGGTAACTCTTGTAACTATGGGCTACTGCAATCCATATGAAATGAACTAGTTCTGTTTTTCACATACAGCACCTTTACCCGTACTTTTTTTTTTATTTGCTGAACTGTTTTAAAATGTTTTTCTAGTTTAAACATGTATTTTTCAATTTAAAGTTGCACTGTGTAACTTTTGGTGGAGAGGCCGTGACCAGCTTCATTCCATGGAGGTGTTGCCTGGAATCTTCCACAGTATGGCATTACACTTATTTATCTCTATGGAGACAGCAGGTGATGCCATAGGGCAGAGTTACATGTCAGATCTGTGGAGAGAGGAGCCCACTCACAGTAAGAATGTAAGTTTTTTGATCAATACTCATAGTCATTGAGTAAATGCAAAGTGGATACATTTAATGCCATACCCGGACATTCCAGACAAAGCAATATTTCCATGGAGACAGATGGCAGACTCTCCAGGAAAAGTTAAGCATTGTGCCTTTAAAGTATTTTATCAGATTTTAATGGTTTAATAGTTTGTAAGTGCACTGTCCTTATTCATTCACTCGCAATGTTACAGAAGACTCACTTACTTTGAATTTTCTGTTTCTAGAGGGTTTCACCTTCACCTTACCTCATACTTTATGGACGTGCGTTGTCCCAATTTATGTGTGGCTTGTCAATTTTATTGGCAGCTGAGCTATTTTTGACATCAACCTGTCCAGAGACTGCAGGTAGAAGTGACATAGCTATAACCTGGCATGGCAACATAAAGAAGTACAAAAATAAATAAATTACACAGACCCCCAAGACCGAATTCTAGCCTTGTTAATGCTCCAGTCATCTGTAGCAAAACAGCAAACAGTTGTCAGTATTTTAATGTACTGGACTGGATTTAGGATATTTATTCTTTATAAAAGGTCAAAACATGGGCAAAAAGAAATAATGAATGTATGGTGCCTTGATCTAGGATTTCTTAAAGTTTATGTTGGGCCTAGCAGTTACAGCCCCAAAGGTCAGTAAAAGAACAAATTAGTTTCACTGGATTCTTTGCTAATGTCAGAAGAAAGGATTTTTCAGCTCAGTGGATAGAGTCTTACCCCCTAAATCCAATTAAACATCACTACTCATCCCAACTTTCACCATTGCGAGATAGGGCCGTAGGGCTGAGGTCTGAGCTGTCCTGGCAAATTTACACCCAACGCTCTTTAATCATTGTTGTTTTTAGCTGTTAACTGAGCCCACGAAATGTTATAATATTTTCTCAAATGCCAAAAATGAATATATTTGGTTCTCATAATCACCAGTCCAGTCCATCACAGATTCATTTCTGACACAACTAAAACAGGCAAGGCATTTCTTACTTTTCATATTCCTGCTGATCCTCATGCAGATTAGTTGCCTGAAGATTAAACGAAAGGGCACATATTATTCTATTTTCTGATATTATAATGTTGTCTCCTCATCAAAAACATACCTGGAGTTGTGTTTTGTTTCATTCACACACATTTAACACTAGGGATGTAACAATAACCTAAATATCATGATATCGTATTGTCAAAATTCTCACAATAATATCGTTACCTGTCATGATATATTGAATCACAAGTTTCTTTGCTTAAATACATGGTTCTATAGAAACAACAGCTTATAAACATAGGGAACTACATATCCCATGATTCATTTCAGTGCAGACAATATGAAGAAATAATGTTTATAAAGGATTATTCAAACATGTGTAAATGAAAAACGAAACAAAACACAACTCCAGATATGTTTCTGATGAGGTAACAACATTATAACATGGCTTAAAGCTCACAAGAAATAATTTAGTGTAATATAGAACTTTTAAGCATTCCTACATATCAGAGATGGACATGTAAACATTTAAAATCATATCATTTAATGTACTAGCTGGAGGCTGTTGATGAAGTTGCGTTCAAGAAGCAGAGGATTTTTTGGCACCCACATATTTTTCCTTTGAACATGCAGAAGATTTATCTGCTGTGCCAGACTGATGCATAGTGATTGTGACTTTCCAAAAGATATGTGTAACGGGCGCTCAACAAAACTGCAGCTAATTAGCACGACTCGAGTAGATTTTTCAGCATGCCAAACAGCACTCTGGGTTGAAGACGCACAGATGTTGAGGATGGTAAATGGAGTTGGGAGAAGGGCTTATTATGATTAAATGGATCTGATTGTTTTGTAACCCAAAGGTGTGGAGTGGGGAAGCAGTGGGACGCAAACGCAGCTACGAGAGGAGAGCTATGCTAATGAACATTTGCTGCTGAATGGCACACGTGTGGTGGCAAATAAATCATAGTATTATGGATAAATACGGAGGATTGAAAGGATTGACACGTACGTATTTGTTGTAGAAATGACATGCCAGAAAAAGCACACTGCTACAGTCATGCAACATCAGTATGAATAACTTGCTGAATAAATACTGTTAAAACCACCGTTCACTGGCTACCTATCAATTTTAGAATCCATTTTAAAATTCTTGTTTTTTAAAAGATTGCATGGACACCCTCAACTTACTGAGCTCCTATAGCCCTACATGCCCAGTCCAGCTCTGGGGTCCATGGCCCAGCTGCTCCTCTTTGTCCCTCGCTGCAGACTGAGCACTAGAGAGAGAGCCTTCTCCATGGCAGCTCACAAATTTTGGAATAGTGGGTCTGTGGGTTAGTGAAGAGACAACCCCACTCACAGCAAAATACATGTTATCTAAGCATTTTAAGCAATAAAAATTGTAGTTTGATTGATTATTTTAAGCTATAACATCCTCTTAGAGTCGCCTCCACCGGAAAAGTAAGTGCACCTTTGAGCAATCCGTTGGGTTCTTTCTAAAAGGTTAAATCAAACACCTGGATTTGATACAGTGATCACATATAGTGGGCTCATACCTGTGTCATTCACTTGTTTCACACGAGCTGTGAATGTTAATCATAATTGTGATTATATCCTTGCAAATGGAATGAGTAATAGGTGATTGTTTAATTGATTAATCCCCACAGCCGCAGAAGGTTTAAGCCATAGGGACTCCCTTTCATTTCTCTGGGCTTTGAAGATCATAAAGAACCTACGCTTCATGCCAACCTTCTCCTGAACCCGTGTTTACATGCTAATAACGAAACGGCTAACGCCGCCTGATAAGAATACCATTTAAATATTCAAAGCCCTGCATGTGCTATTTACATTACCTGCTCTCAGACATCTCCTTTATGAAAGACGACCCACATGTAAATATGCACATGCACACCGCTTTGCCCATGCCATGGCTCAAAGTGATTTATTAAAACATTCTATTGTAAGCCTTGATCCAGTGCTTAATGCCAGTACTAGTGAGGAGAAAGAGATGTGAAATCTATGGCACTGCACATGATTATACGGGCAGCCCAAGTCTCCTCCATAAGTCAGCGGTTTCTGTTTGTATCAACACGCTCTAGTGCAGAAGATGTTCATGTACTATTAAATCCACAGTAGCACTTACACATGATGGACTGTTAATCCCTTCCCGACTTTGACTGTATTTCCGATTCTACACAAGAATAATCTCTGCTATGCTAATTTGCTTAAAGCATCCCTCTTTCTGCGCTAGACTTGTCACTGAGTCACATGTGTAACATGTGTAACATGTGTATTGGTACATGAAGTTATAACAATTTTAGGTTTGAATTTGTATTCCCTATAATTCTAGTTTTGAAATATTATATTTAGCATTTAAGATGAGACTTCAAAACCAGTGTACACGGTTCAGTGTACAGCAAAAATATGCTTGTTTATTTGTCGTATATCTTTTTCTACACTGACAGAATCCTCTATTTGTCACCATATGTATACACACCAAAGCCCCAGCCACAACTTTTTAGTAACATTAAAATAAAAGTATGTTTTTCACTTTGGTTGGTTTTATTGCATTGAAAAACATAGAAAAACATGTTACTTTCCTTTATATTCTGATAACACATTTTGCATTTATCCCAAACAAATTAATTTTTTTAATGGCATGACATCATTTTATCATTTATTTTCTACCCTCAGTGCTCTTCTTCCTAATGTGATTGCACAACAGGAAATGCCCCTCCCTGTTGCATGCTTATTCAACATGTTTTCTTGACTCATGTTTTCCTGTATGCATTAGCGTTGAATTCTTTGTTTTCTGTGGTAGTCTTTTTGCTCTAACCAGCCCCACTCTTGTCTTGGCAGGTTGGAGGACACACCATGCTGCCTATCCGCTGGATGCCTCCGGAGAGCATCATGTACCGGAAGTTCTCCACAGAAAGCGACGTGTGGAGCTTCGGAGTGATCTTATGGGAAATCTTCACCTACGGGAAGCAGCCGTGGTTTCAGCTGGGGAATAACGAGGTGCAGTATTTTACCACATGTACATGATACATTTGTTCATTATACGCTACATTGTATATCCGGCATTACCATATTACAGTAAAGACGGCAGAATGAACATGTAGCTCTGGGCCACTCTCTGGGTTTTATCCATGTACGCACAATATGAGTGGGAAGATTGAATGCATTTATTATGTGAGACAACCATGACAACCAGAAGAATGAAAAGAGTGTGTTTTTCGCTGAGCACTGATGAAGACACTGCACTCTGCCATATATGTGAAGAATAACCAATGAGATATTCAAATCAACACTGCCATCTTGGATCTAGTCTTTTGTGTAGTCCCTTTTTCCTGAGCCTCTCCCCTGGTCCAATGAGGTGATAAATGAATGCCTCTTTGCGAACAGACAAGATGGAGGATTACATAATACACTTGATTGGTTTGTTTCTCCAATGGAACCATGCCTTTAAATCAATACAATCCAATTACAATTGCTCTTTTAAAATGAAAATACAGGAAACAGGTATATAAAGAATAATCCCATATATGTCGTGCGTTACTTCACAAACATCCCCAATTGAAATGTCAATATGTTCTTTGGCAAATTAAAATATCCACTTCTTTCTTTCTCGTGTATAAAAACATTTCTTTGATTAAACAAGACATACTGAACTTTAGAACAAATATGAAAAAGCCTTATAGCAAAATGTGAAAATCAAAAGGCTGCTTTTCTAATGAGTTTTTAGACTTGGTATGGGAGACGGGGCTTTTAACACACTCAGATTTCTTAGCGTAGAGGGCATGATCATTCATTATAACAATGGATTTAAATGAGCCTCAGTAACAAGGGTCACTTAGGTCATTTTTCTTGCTTTTTTCCTGTTTCAATCATGATTCTATCCACATAAGAGTTAGCAGCTTTGTCAGGTTGTACAAATCAGAGTAATGGTGCACGGTATTTCCTCTGGCACACCCCAAGTCAAATCAATGGGTCTCTTAATTACTATGAAACTACGGTAGATAACTTGACTGCGTACCTGCTTTGTATCTAGGGCTGGGTATCATTAAGAAGTTGCCGATACGATACATATCTCGATACATTAGCCACGATACGATACATATCTCGATACAGTGCACCTTTGGTTCTTAAATTTCATTAGCCTATTTTTTGTATACTGAACCGGGCTGCAGTGCAATGTTAAAAGGAGGGAGGGGGAAAAAAACAACAACGTGAAATCACCTAACATGAATGAATGTCTAATTTGGAGTATGCGCAAACAATACTTTGGTTTCGAGCGCCAGCAGCAATGAATAAGCAATCTGTACAGTGGAGGAAGACGTTAGATGGATCATGGGGAAGTGTAGGTTTAATCCACAGTGGCTCTTAGATTCTAGATATAGTACCGTAGTTGGTTGGTCATTATTAGAATTGGATCTGGGGTTTTTCGCCCACATAATGGGTGCGATGTTGGTCTTAATTTTCATTTAAGTAGTCTTAAAAAGGTCTTTAAAAAGTCTTAAATATTGGGTAGTCAAACCTGGGAATACTCTGAATAAAAAATAATGGCTAAATCATGTCTGTGATATTAAAGTCTTTGTTAAACCACTTCTTGTGCAAAGTTCATATTAAACACATCAATTTTCATCACCAAAACATTGAAAATGTCAAATGTGTTGCATAAACGATGTTTCCTTCCACTAAACAAGCAACAGAACTGTAGCTGTAACAACATAATTTAGTAAAATATACCAAAAAGTTATGTTGGCGATACATCAGTACAGCAGACCACGATATCAATACTGCATCGTCACATTAAATGTTACGATATATTGATATTTCAATATTTTTTACACACCCCTATTTGTATTAGATTTTTAAGGTAACATTGCAAATGTTAAAGGTGCATTGTGCAACTTTTCTGATGCATCATCCGTCACCTGCTTGTGTTCATGGAGATGTTATTGCTTTGTCTAGAATGTTTCGGTAGAGATTAAACCTATCTATCTCAAGGGAGACAACTATAGGCTACATTACAGGTCAGATCTGTGGAGAGCCAACCCTATTCACAGAGAGAATTATTGTATTTTTAAGCATTAGAAACACCCGTAATGAATAAATGCCAGATAGATAGATGTGTTTGATGTCATACCATGGAACATTCCAGACAAAGCAATAACATCTCCATAGAGACAATCAAGTGACGGACAAGTGAAATTTCATGTGGGAACCCTCTACCGCTATGTAACTTTTCTGTTGAAGGGTCTGCAACCTACTTGTCTTCAGATATTACTTGTAGCTATTACTGCTTTGCCTAGAATATTCCACAGTATGGCATTAAACTTAACTATGTTCACGGAGACAAGCAGGTGACAATCAGGCTAAGTTACAGGTCAGATGCTCACAGGAAGAATGCTTTTTTTTCTACAAGTTTAATGCCATATTGTGAAATATTCCAGACTAAAGGATAGCATGGAGCTGTTAGTGGACTCCCCACAGTTACATAATGCACCTTAAATAGAAGTGCATAGACTTTTGAACACAAATTGCTAACAAGTGAATCGTGCACGTGTTCTTAGCATTCTGTCCTTGAATTTCTGGTTGCTTTTAGAAAGAGTTCAGTTGAGTTTATTTATTCAGACATTTCACAAAGTCTGAAAAGAGCTATGGCGTGATTTGTTATAGAACATTATGTGCTTTTTTTCAACCAGCATCTCTACTCTTCTATAATGTACCCCTTTTAGCGATGGAAGCTTACATGTACTGACCCAATCCAAACCATGTCAACAGTGGAATGGGCTTAATGTTCCACCCATTTCCTAACATTACTCACTAAGCCAGTGAACACAATTTCATTTACTAAAAGGGGAGTAATGTCAAAGAAATTCATTTAATATCGGAAACTGAAATGAAATCTGGTCAAATAACCTTCATATTATAAAATAAGTATTCGCTCCCATGACACCAATTTTCTCTTCCGTTCACGCGTATTCTTACAGTATTACAGCACATGCATTTATTGCCACAATCTTGTGTGAATGTGTCAAATTGGATGCCTCAGCTTCAATGCCTGACAAGCCTATTATCATATGGTGACAGGAGAACAAAAACACGCTGAATGAGAAATTAGGTATGTCTTTGTTGATGGCAGCCAGAGCACATGCAGGGGATGCTCCCACAAGTTTGTTTAACATTTTCGAAACAGCCGCTTTTTATTGTTCTTGACAATCGGGCTGAGTAAAACATATCGATTTGAATATGGATTAGGTTACTCTCCACAAATGAGTTTTCAGCTAGAGCCCAATTGCAAGATGCTGTGTGTGGACATTGTCTTATTGTGTGGCTGTTATAGTCTGAGACACTATTTGTTTTTGCTTGTGCGCTGTGGTGTTAAAATCAACAAGGGAGGTTTTAAAAGTTAGAGTTGAACAAAGTGGCTTTTCCAACATTTGCATCCTACGCTCTCACTAACTCCACATTGTCTGGTTTTCATATTGTCATGATCCTGCCTATATACTTACTTTTTTCGTGTTGTATATTCCAACCATTTCAATGTAAACTATTCAAAACATCTCAATGCGAGGTGTCATCCTTGTTGGGTGTGAAAACTTGTTTTTTCTTCTTAGTGCCACTGTTTCTCAACAAAAAAAAAAAAAAGTAGAATCTCAACTATCTTCGTTTTCATATACATTTTAATATATCTGACACATTGTTCCAGCCTGGTGGCTCTATCCACTTCATTCCTGGCAGAGGAAGCAGTTGTTCCCAGAACACAAGAGAACTACCAGATAATAATTGAATAAACTGTACACCTGATCTTTGTCTCAGCCAGGAGGAAGTCAGATTTTGCCACAGACGCTAGTATATCACAGACCTGGGCATGCAGCCCTTTAATCTGGCCCCTGGCAGGTTTAAGTTAATAATTATTATAGTGCAGTAATAGACCTATATTTTACAGAAATTAGCTCACCAACGATCATGTTGGTCTAGCCAGCTTTCATTTACCTGAAGATGGTGCGCTGTTAGCAGGCTAGGAATGATTAGCATAACCTCTGATATGTTGAGAACCCATCTAGGATTGGCACCATAACCAAATATAGAGTTTAATATGTTGCTTAATTAAATAAAGACAATAAATGATATCAATGAAACTAATTTATGCCACTGACACAATCACCCAAGAGACAATTATACCACAGAAACTTCTAAATGTACAATACACTGTAGTACTTAGTTTGCATGTGCAATGAGTGATTAAAGTTATTCATTCATCCTTTTACAGCACAAATCTTATATAGCCTAAATATAACCACAAATTTCCCAGTAATGCAAAGGAAATGTACACATGATATATTCTTCCAGCTTTTGTACATTGAATGGTAAACTAAACTATTACTTGTCCCAATTTGAAAATAGTAAAAATCAGGTACACACCTTTAAGTATCAGAACATCATCTAGATCCAAATCTACTCTGAGCTGTTTTTGTTTGGTCCAAATGACAGACTCTGACTTGACAGTTGTACAGCCATCATTAGCCAAGGCCATGTGGCTGCACTGCTCTGGCCCACACTAAACACCAGAAGCAGCATGTTTTAAAAAGGAAAACAGAATTTAAAGTTTGTGTATAATCCTTCCGTCAGACAGAGGCCCAAACAACCCGACAGCGGTGGGGCAATTCCATTAGCGTCTTTGTGAAGCTAATTAGAGCAGCCGCCCTAAACCAAATGATCAGTGCCTTGTTAGCAGCATGCCCAATATCCACCAGCACACATGTTCAAATAACAGTGAAATTCTGGCTTGGGGAGGGAAAGAAAACGCTGTCTCTCTTCAAATATTGCACAAATTTAAGAGTGAATGAATGCAGTTTATTTCTTTCATCTGGCTTTCATTAGTTCAAAGCTCAGAGGACAGCTCGCCTGGCGTCACTGCTTTCTCATTACCGGCAAACACAAGCAATCAGTGAGCGAAAGTTGCGGCGTCTCACTCTGCTGCCTCTGTTTCTCTCTCTATATCTCCCCCTGCAGGTCATCGAGTGCATAACCCAGGGCCGTGTTCTGGAGAGGCCACGGATCTGCCCCAAGGAGGTGTACGACGTCATGCTCGGCTGCTGGCAAAGGGAGCCCCAACAAAGGCTCAATATCAAGGACATTCAGAAAGTCCTGTTTGCCATGGGGAAAGCGACGCCGGTCTACCTGGATATCCTGGGCTAGCACTGAGCTTTTTATTTTTGGAATTCTCTGTTAGACTGAAAGGCAGACAGGGGTCCCACAGAATCCAGGAATAACCAAACCAACCTGCTCCACTGTCAAAACACCTACAAAGTTTGGGAAAGGACTTAAGTGCCTGCAACACTTTTGGATATAGTGGATTAAAACATATTCAAAAAAAACATGCACTTTTACATTTGTTTACTTAAGATGTACAGCTTTGGAGAAGACTTTTCTGTTCTTTTGTTCTTCAAAAACTACGAAAACACAAAAGCGGGAGATAAAAAGGGAAGTTATGCTACTTGCAATAGGAAAATGGCCACCGTTTGATTCAAGAGAGGACACATCAGAGTTTAATCTATCTTGGGTTTGGTTTTATGAATATATAGAGAAATATGACATATATTTTATATTTATTTGTTTTGGAAGTCGAAGGTTCTGCCATGTGTGTTGCAAAAGGGCTCTGGCCCATTCTGAACACATCACTTGACAACAAACTCGTGGCAGGGACTGAATGGAAGCCTTACTTGCACTCTGATTGGCTGAAACACTGGATGGTAAACAGGAAGTACTAACACTGAGGACTACCCAATCAGACAAGCGACAAATCTATTTTAATTTAAAGCTAATGTACATATTGTAAAATTCTATGTGTCAAAATTATGTTAACTTATTTTTACGATTTTTTTTCTTTTTGTTTTTTTGTTTCTGACTGTGATCTGGTTGGCTACAAAGTATAAAAGCTACAGTGTTCTTTTTTTTTTTTTTAATGCTATTCTAAAAGGAGCGTACTCTTGGGAAATTACCTGTGTCAGTATTGATAAGTTGTCAATATGGTGAACGGTGGTAAAAAACAGCGGCTCATCGATTGAGAAAGACTGCAATGGATTATGGAATACAATCAGAGCCGCCCTTTGGAAAACAACACCTTTTCTCCCCCATCGTCTTCACTTTCCACCTCCATTTGCTTTTTATGGCTAACGTTGATGACACCACACCCCCTTTTTCAACACACGTTTAGAGGAACAGACTGGAGCTATTTTTGTGTGCTTTTTTTTTTTTTTTTTTTGCTCTTGAGAAAAAGTGTGAATCACCTTTTCCATTGCAGGTGTTTAAGCGTTCCTGTCACACCATCAAAGTTGTGTCTCTAATTAGAACTCACAATGTTTTGATCCTGGAAATCATCGTCATATTATTTTTGCACTTGTGGCCTTTGCACGTTTAGGGACATTTTTACATCAACAAATTTGATAAAAATGTGTTCTTTTACAACCCGAAAACCACTGATAGTTTGGTAGTGTTGTCATACATACATTCAACGTGGATCTACTGATTGTATGCTGTTAGATATTTGTTTTTATTTTAAAGACAAAATGTGGTTGGAAAACGTGAATGGTGAAATTTCAAGGGAAACATCTGTTAATTATTAATAAAAATGAGTTTCTGTTTTGCAAAGAGAATCTGCTAAATTTTCTCAGACGCTAAATGATGACCTCAGGCAACCATTCTATCTTATGTTGTATCTGGAGATTTTGGGCAAAACGCTTCACATCTTTGAGGATTCGGCTCTTGACTCAAATCCGTGATGTTGTCTCTGCTGTCACCCCTCGGGATTGTGTAAATCATTAATGACCATCCATTTATGTCAATGTCTTTTATAGAAAAAGCAGCAACAAAAATCCACTGCGTTACCCAAAACGTTGAGTTTCTTGTGTATTCTCTGTGGTAAAAAGGTTTAAGACATTTCGACACAGCATTTGCAGGGTATTGTAATCCTTTTCATAGTGATTTGAATATTGTTTCTGAGTTTACATTTTACTTTGTTTATTTTTCATTTCTTGGATGAACTAACTGAACACTTTTTGAAGCAAAGTTGGCATATTACCATGTACATGTTACAGAATATAAAATGTGGTATAATAACTGCAGTATATAAAATACTGATATTCCATGATAGATCTTTGTATTAATGTGACTCTCTTAAGAAAATGTCTTTAAACAATCAAAAGCGACCGATCTCTTTTTCCATTTTGTCTTGTCTTATAAAGAGTGTGATTTGTAATACATTTTGTCTCAGTTCAAATCTATCAGGATGTTCTACAAGAGGGTGTTCCCGACATGTGTGGATGTCTATTTTTAATCCTACAAAAAGTGAAACTGAAACTAGCCCGTATTCTGAAATGTCCACAGAGTCTTATTAAGTCATCTAGTGAACCATAAGCACCTCTTTAATATTTTAAAGCTGTCCAGAAGTCTACTATGAGCATATTGTAAACTGGCCAAAACTTCAACAAAATTCTACAGGGCCATTTAACTTTAGAGCCAGTAAAGTAGTTTTTATTAGCTGTTGGCAGATATGACCCATTGAGAACCTTTCATAAACCTGGCTTACCACCATCACCTCACAGCAAAGTTCAAATCCAGGACAGTTTTATGTTGCGATGTCTTTTGTCACCTGTGGGCACATGTAGGATGAACAACCACACAATTAACATCAGAATTCAAATATGGACGCTCCTTCCCAGTGCCTTGAAGCTGGGGTACCTGATGGAGACTGTGGAAGGAGGAAATAGGTATTTAAATCTGTCCAACTAATCTCTCGCTCTCTCAAACCCTTTGGCACATCGTTGTTATTCACATCCATCAGTAATCAGGAGCGTACATGGTTTAAGAACAGCTTTTTAAAGACAGTAAGGTGAAACTGGAGTGGACCACCCTCCTCAAACAGCCAATCAGAGCGCTGCTTACGGCTTTTACTTTTTACTAAAATACAAATATTATTAGCTGCACAGTACACAGCGGTCTCATTTTTCTCCAGTACTGCTTTTACAATTTACTATTTGGGAGAAAACACAGAATTTATCCATTTACAAAAAAGAAAAGAAAAGCAGGGTACCCCAGCTTTAATTTATTAGATTCATGAGTCCAGGTTTCAGCATGTTTTATTCCTGTTTTTGTCCCGATTTTTTTGTCTTGTTCCAGCCCTTGTGTTACCTGAAGTTATTTCTTGTGAAAATCTTGAGAATTAGAGATGGGAGTATCGACATATTGATACTGACTTGTGCAAATGGTAATATGAGTAGTGTTATGCTAATTAACATCTGCAAATTTGAATGTTGCCATACATTTTAGACATGTAAAGGCTATTACTTCATTGTTTCGTGCCAAATGCCTTTCACCAGCAACATTTTGGATTGGCCCATCTGGTGTTCTGTTTTTCCTTTAGAGCCTATTTTAAGCCCTTTTGTATACATTTATTTAAATTTCTTCACCCTTAAGATTAGACTGGTCCTGTACCAACACCAGAAATGTTGGTATCACCCATACCTACGGAAAATAATGATTAAAGATGGTGAAATGATTATGTTATAACCTGGACCAAGATGGATATTTTCTAGTCACAGTTGCTCAACAACATCTTACAAACTTCTAATCTAAATCACTACATTGTTGCAAAATTAAAAGAGAAGAAAACAAATAATCAAGTTATTCTATTTGTAAAGATAAACTGTGAAATCTGGCTCCAAGATGTTAGCCACAAGTCCCTGAAGTCAATACTAGCACTTGCTCCAGATGCGATGTCGGCGGTTCATTGACTTCCAGACAGCTTAGTAACACAATTTGGGAATGGTTGCAACTGCCTGTTTTACCTCCAAAAATTAACATTACATCTGGATATACAATTGAATAACTACCAGAATCTAGAGCGATATAATATATATTTCAGGACACTGGCCATTACAGCTCATAATGGCCCATGGTAACCTCATCTCCTTTACTTGTCCGGATATCGAACAGTGACCAGCACTCTATTGTTCTGACGAGTCTTTTAAATACGACTAGAAAATGGAGACGCGGTCAGAGCCTGGAGATTTGAGGTCAGTAGGCAGAGTGTTATGATGCAGGGTGTGTAATTGTTTATTGATTTACATTTACACAGTGTTTTGTAGCCATTGCCTTCTCTCTGAGGGTTTGGTGGGCTGGTCCTGCTTGTGTGAGTCTTTGGATAAGGACACATAATGGTTGAAAGTACATGTACACATAATGTATATGTAAAGTATTGCTCTGTAAAGAAAGACAAATTTTAGCAAACTGCAGGCAAAGATTTGAGCAGCTACTTTGTCATCCACTAACAATATAACATGGAAATAGGTCTGGGGAATGTGCCAAAAATGAATCATCAGTTCTCATACTGAACAATTAAAATTTTTTATTTCATTTAATTTTATTTTGGCTCATTAAAAACAATAAAAGCTTTCAGTTTTCATTTCCTGAATACAAAACAATACAGACTTTTAATCACGGCCATTTAGCACAAACCATTGCTTCCTCTTAAGTATGAAACGACATGCTTTTACTGACACAGGATTGGCTGTAGACCTCCCCATTAAAATGACTCATAGCAGTGACAATTAGAAATGAGTGAATCTCAATCTTGATTAAAATAGCTTTAATTGCACAGCTATAATGGAAATAACTATTTAAAGAAAAGGCCATTGGAAGTACTTGGATATTCACATGTTGTGGGTAGAGTTGTGGTTAATTGGGAACTGTATATTAGCAATCTACACAGACTATAGTGGATTGGCATTCTCAAGGGGATCTTACAGGGTTCCTTTACAGAGAAAGTGTTAACAAAATATGCCTAAAACCTGTTGAAACAAATGTATTTTACAAATGAATAATGAAAGTGTATTATGCTCTGACCAGTACCCATGTAGTTCTGAGGTCCTTTGTCGTGTTACCAAACCTTATCTTTCACAATGTAATCTATATTATCACTTTTAGAGTATCATACCCTAAAGGTAAAGCAATAGTGCACACCTTATTGACCACTAATGGCAGGTACTCTGTTGATACCAGACAAGGTGTCCCTATATCACCATAGTTATTTGTATGCGCGCCATCTCCATTATCACTGAAAAAGTAAGTTTTGGTGGATTTTTTGGGTTGGTATAGTACTAATATTCAAATGTAATTCTTAGTTATGTAACAATATGCAA